CCTCCTGCCGGTCGGTGCGAGGACATGCCGACTTGGACCCCACGGTGGAACCTGGGGACGGGATTTACACTGCCATCATCCCTCCAGGGTGGGGACACGAACTAAGAGCAACCACAACGCCATCTCAGCGGATGGCCCAGGAAGCCCACAAACCAGAAGTGGAACCTGCGCTGTTTGAGGCGCTAGTCCCAGAACAGTACCAGGGCTTCCGGGATGTGTTCTCGAAAGAGGCCTTCGACCAGCTGCCCCCCCGGAAGCCCTGGGACCACGCAATAGACCTGGCACCAGATGCCAAACTCCCGAGAGGGAGGACCTTCCCCCTGTCACGACCAGAGCAGAAGGAGCTGGACGAGTTCCTGCGTGAAAACCTGCGGAACGGGCGCATACGGGCATCCAAATCCCCGATGGGAGCCCCAGTCTTCTTTGTCAAGAAGAAGGATGGATCTTTGCGCCTAGTCCAGGACTACCGAAAGCTCAACGAGATCATGGTCAAAAACTCATATCCCCTCCCACTCATTTCGGACGTTCTCGCACGCCTCCGAAATGCTAAGTACTTCTCGGCGCTAGACTTGTGCTGGGGATTTAACAACGTCCGCATCAAGGATGGCGATGAGTGGAAGGCGGCGTTTTCGACCAACCAGGGATTATTTGAGCCTACCGTCATGTTCTTCGGCTTGTGTAACTCCCCAGCGACGTTCCAAACAATGATGAACGACATTCTCCGAGACTTCATTGACCGAGAGGTCGTCATCTGCTACATGGACGACATCTTGATCTTCACTGCCACCCTGGAAGAACACCGGAAGGTCGTCCGAGAGGTCCTGGAGACGCTGTGGAAGCGGAGGCTCTTCTTGAAGCCAGAAAAGTGCAAGTTTGAGCAGAAGCGGATCGAGTACCTCGGCCTCGTCATCTCCGAGGGAAGCGTCGCGATGGACCCCGTGAAAGTCCGTGGAGTCCTTGACTGGCCAACCCCAACCAAGGTCAAGGAAGTACAGTCCTTCTTAGGGTTTGTCAACTTTTATCGCCGGTTCATCAAAGACTTTTCCGAGATAGCCTGCCCCCTCCACGCGCTAACCCGCAAAACCAAGTCATGGACCTGGGGACCTGACAAAAACCGCGCTTTCCAGGCCCTCAAAGACGCCGTCACCTCCGCCCCGGTCCTTGCCTTCCCCACTGATACAGGCCACTTCAAACTCGAGTGCGACGCCTCCAACTTTGCGACCAGCGCAGTCCTATCCCAGCTCCAGACAGACAGAGAGTTCCACCCCGTAGCTTTCATGTCCAAGAGCTTCACGGACGTAGAGCGTAACTACGAGGTGTACGACAAGGAGATGCTTGCGATCATACGCGCCCTTGAGGAGTGGCAGCATTTCCTACAAGGAGCGGAGGAGAAAGTCAAAGTCTACTCCGACCACCGCAACCTAGGGTACTTCCGCACTGCGCAACAACTGAATCGGTGCCAAGCGCGGTGGTCACTCTTCCTCTCCCAATTCCACTTCACCCTCATCCACCGCCCCGGGAAACTCATGGGGAAACCCGATGCACTGTCGCACCGCGCTGACCACCCAAAAGGCAAGGACGACAACGACGGGTTGACTCTCCTCCAACCCACCTGGTTCGAGGCCTGCGCGGTGGAGGTGGTCATGGTGGAAGGCGAAGGGGTGACCATCCTCGAGAGGATCAGCAGGGCAAAGGACCTGGATGAGAAGGTGGTAAAGGCGATGCAGGAACTGGGAGAGGGCACGCTGAGGTCGGATGAGTGGGAGAAACAAGGAGAGCTGGTTCTGTACAGAGGAAAAGTATATGTCCTGAAAGACCCGCAACTCCGCCATGACCTAGTGCGCCTGTACCATGATGCGCGTGCGACGGGGCACCCAGGGCGGTGGAAGACCCTGGAACTCGTCTCCCATGACTACTGGTGGCCACGGATGGTGGAGTATGTTGGGCGGTACGTACGCAGATGCGACACCTGCAACCGTGTCAAATCCTTCCCCTCCCGTAAAGTGGGAAAGCTCATCCCGAACAAGATCCCCGCCCGCTGCTGGCAAGTGATCTCAGTAGACATGATTGGAGAACTCCCCGAGTCCAAGGGCTACAATGCCGTCCTGGTCGTAGTGGACTGCCTATCCAAACGCATCCACGCAATTCCAATGGTGACAACGGTGGACTCAGTGGGGATCGCGCGGCTTTTCCTTGAACACGTCTGGAAGCACCACGGTCTCCCTGAAGAGATCCTCAGCGACAGAGGGAGCGCTTTGTTTCGCAATTCTCGAAAGAACTCACAGACCTCCTCGGCGTCAAGCTCACCCCCTCAATGCCCTACCACCCCCAGACAGACGGGCAGATGGAGAGAGTAAACCAAGAGGTAGAGGCTTACCTCCGAGTATTCGTCAACCATCGCCAAGACGACTGGGTGGACTGGCTCCCGCTAGCGGAGTTCGCCTATAACAACCGCATCCACTCCTCCACCCGCTGAACCCCTTTCGAGCTCGACACTGGCCAACACCCTAGGATGGGGACAGAGCCCACACGCACATCCGAAGTAGAAGCCGCTGATGCCTTCTCATCGAGGATGATGAAGATGCAAGAAGAGGCGAAGGCGGCGCTAGAGCACGCGGCGGACAAGATGGCCCGCTACTACGACCGGAACCATGAGGCGGCCCCTACGTACCAAGAAGGCGACCAGGTCTGGCTCAGCACCCAGAATTACACGACAGACCGCCCAACCAAGAAGCTGGACCATAAATGGACCGGCCCCTTCACGATTATTAAAGTCGTCTCCCCCGCCGCTGTCAAACTCCGGCTCACTGCCCAACAAAGAGGGATTCACCCAGTCGTATCTGTAACAAACATCAGACCGCACCGCCCTGACGAGATCGCGGAACGCCCTGCCGACCCCCGCCCAGGCCCAGACCTCATGGATGGAGAAGAGGAGTACGAAGTAGAGAAAATCCTGGACTCTAAGTGGCTACGCCAAAAACTCCGGTACCTGGTAAAGTATACAGGCTGGCCACACTCAGAAAACCAATGGCTCACGCGTGACCACCTAACCCACGCCTCAGACCTGGTTGAGGAGTTCCACCAGACGCACCCACATGCCCCAGGGAGAGAAAGAGAGAACCGCCCAGCCGCTTCAAGGCGAAGCGGCTTGAGAGGGGGGTGATGTCAGGGCACACCCCACCTGACCCCGCGCCGCGCCGCCCTACTCCGCTCCGCGCCGCCCTACTCCGCTCCCCCGCTATTCACTCCCTGTTTCTTCTTTCCTTCTTTCCTTCTTTCTATTTCCGTTCCACGGTCGACTTCCCCTTCTCTATGTATTGCTACACACCTAACCCTGCTCCCCCGTTCGCCGTGCCCGCCGCACGCATTCCTGCTCACAGAGCGGCACACCTCCGGGATCTCCCACGGAGATACCCAGGGGAGTGCGGCTGTGTGTGGGGATGACGTGGCTCCTCCCACGTGACCCCAACCGCATGTATATAATAGCACCTGGGGTGGGAACAGAAGAAGCAGCCTTCTTCTCAACTTCCCACTTCAGACTAAGTGGTCAGGGACACTCACCCCGCAACGGGACCGCTGCTACGCATAGTCGACACCTGTCCCATCGAGTCCCTCGCACCGGGACCTCGCCGCTTTCGGAGCTGTCCCTGACAGTCACAGAGTTCGAACAAAGGATTCAAATCCGACGTGGCCGAGGGGACTAAACGATCAAGCCTTGACGTCAGACAACAAGGTGTTCGACAGCAGAGCCCAAACGACAACACAAAAACAAAACTAATCAACGCCAAAACGAAAAGGTTTCGATCGCAGAGTACAGATGGAAAAGTAAGGGATCTGAATGGAAGAACTTGCATGAGAACTTGCATCTGGACTGAGAGGTTTCACTTACGAGGGCTTGGGGGCTGTAGCAAGCGGGTGGACATTGAACCATTCCAGGTCACACCCTCTCAGTTGCTTCCGAAAGGGTCGGCTCCGATGCGGGATCATTGATATTGTGATAAGATCCCAGGAATAGTGGTGTGACAAACGCAGAGAACAGGACAGTATAAGTGAAGAAGGGTGAGCTAGCATAGCGTGCAAACCAAGGTAATATACAGAAAGGAAATTCTGAATGAACGGAATTTCCCATATAGTCGGAATAAAGGGACATGTGATAGATTCTGGGCAAGTTACTCGCTCAGCTGCTTTGTAGCGGAGTTGGCCGAATTTATTCGTTTATTCGCTCAGCTGTGCGAACGTGGCTGTTGCAAAACCCGCGCTAGCATGCTGTGTTTCAACAGTGGGAAGCCCCGGTATTCTTTGGGATCGGTGGATTGATATGTAATATTTTAGACTAGAATGCCTAGCGTTGCATGACCACTCAGTTCTAGACACGTAAACTACATAAATCCATTACTCAATAGTTACCTAGTGTTGAATGAACGCTAGTTACAGTTACATAATATGAAATTACTACATTACTGTAAACGGACCTCAGTTCTAGATACATTGATAAGATTCCAGGAATAGTGGTGTGATAAATGCAGAGAACAGGACAGTAAAAGGAGGCCCAATATTCTTCAGGATCGATGGGTTGATAAGATTCCAGGAATAGAGATGGGAAGCTCCATAGATGGGCTAAATGCAGAGAACCGGACAGTATAAGGAGGCTCAATATTCTTTGAGGCCGACGGATTGATAAGATTCCAGGAATAGCGGTGTGATAAATGCAGAGAACAAGACAGTATAAGGAGGCCCAATATTCTTTGAGACCGAGTCCAGTAAGTAGAAACATTCGCAGCTTGATAGCCGTCACTTCGCAGAGTCGGGACCCATCGTCGCTGCGAGGTGCACAATGGGCGAGTCATGTTTCCGGAGCCTGTGAGAATAGTTCGGAGTCAGCCAATATTGTCGGCAATCCCAGAAGGTCACGCTGCTATAGTGAAGTGGACTTGGCCAAATTCATTTGTCTAATCATTTCGCTCCACAATTGTACAATCGTTCGCTCCCCAGCTCAAACAATGTCTCAAAAACAGTACCCTTCCATGAACCGTGCGGCCACTGAGTGTGGTTTGGCTTCCTCTACATCCAAGGGCACTGGGCATGTGGCGGGCGACAACACTGGGCAACTGTCTCTCGTTTCTGACGCAGCCGACAAGGTTGCTGCGGAGAAACGACCTACAGGCGAACCCATCACCTCTTCTGGTCCCTCGACCACTAAGGTTAGCACGATTTTCCTTCGTCAAAAGCTAGTTCTCATTGTTCCTTGTTTACAGCCAATACCTTGTAACTTGCGTTTTACCAAAAAAAAGCCAACACCATCCAACGCCGGTACTTCGTCAGGTTCAGCTATCCAGCCCAGCCCCTCCCATCCGCCAGCGGTTGTCCCAGACGCCCCTGGTCATGGGTTCGGTGGTGGAGAGCCGCGATTCTCATTGCCAGAACGACCTGGGTGGGTCATAGTCGAATTTGAAGGCAGCACTCCAGTGCCTTTGATGCCTTCAGAATGGTATCCAGTTCTCGATCCTTTCAATTACGACCGTGTTTCTGGTCATCTACGGCGCACTACTGTACGTTGGCTGTGGGATCAGTGGCCCATGACCGAATCTCGACTCAAATGTCTTGAGGATGTCATCAAAGAGGATAATGAACTTTTCGGTGTGTTGGATCCATCTCCTCATGTCATGTCACTCAATCTAATTGTGGGCACTTTTAAATCATTCTGTCATATCCGTGCATACCCGACCCCGACCCGACTTCCGGACCTCCACCCTCTTCACCTCCGGAGTCATAACCTACCGCTGCCGTTCCGATACTCACCCTCGGTCCTGGCAACACACCTCCTCCTTACCTCTCCGACCCTATCTCCGTCCGCTCCGATACTCATCTCGGACCGAACACCGCCCCTCTCACCACCCTCCTACTACTCCACTCCCCCTTCACAACACCTCCACCCTCCCGTCATCCTCCTACGCTTCCCCTGTCCGCTCCGATACTCACCTTCGGACCTGACTACTCTCCTTTCCGCCACTCCTTCTCCCTTACCTCTCTCCTCCCTCTGTTACTCCTCCGCCACCCTTCCGCCAAGTTACGACCTTCCACCGCTGTTCCGTACTTCGCACTCGGACACTGCTCGTACCTTACTCCGAGCCTCCGTCATAGTCCCTACCTCGGACTTTGACTCCACCTCGGTCTTAGTCCATTGCATTGGTGACCTCATACTATGTAAACACCATTGCCAATATCCCTCGGACTTTCAACCCCGCCTCCGTAACCTCCGTAAGCTCCGCAACCCCCGAGCTTCGCAGATCGCCTTCGGCGCTCTCGCTGCTTGTAATGTATTTCTCGCGTTTTTCCCTCATCCCTATTTGGACTACTGCTTCTTCCTATTCTAGCCAGTTAGTCATCATCCCCACTTCCCCACTTCCCCTCATCCTCCTGCCCCTCTGGGCCTCGCCCTCCCTACCTCCTTTCGGACGTATCACAGGTCCTGCCTTATGACCTTCGGTACCGCTCTGCTCCTTCTACCCTTTGTTCCCGTTCGGACGTCTTCATTCCGATTCGGTTACCCTTTGTTCTCCTTGTGCTTTTGCCCCTTCCATTATATATATCGGCGCTTGTACATACTCGTTTTGGTTTAGTCCGAAATCGACCTGAAATGCCCCCAAGAGACTTCCTGCTCACCTACTGTGAAATTAAGGACCAAATGGACAAACAGCAATGGCACAGCGCTCCGCTTGAGTCGCTGAGGCCAAGGTCCCTCCACGCTAAGTCTCCGATTCCACTCCGGAGTCGTCTGTTTCCGCCCACTCTAACAGATCAGAGAAAGAGGAGCTTCGATTCAAAAAGGGAATGTGGACTTTGCAGATAGACGCTGATCGCTCTGTTGGCGAGTTCCTGAGGCCTCTGAGCAAGTAATCTCATTTCTCCCTGAATTTACATGCATTATACTTTGTGTAAACATGTTTCCTTCCATTCTTTATACCACATGCTGCTTCATATTCTCGCTATGCGGGAATTCGAGAATGAGGCTGACTCATTCTTGAACGAGGGGTGTCTGTCGCTCAAGAATTTGATGGGCACAGGTAGTGCAATGAAAATATATCCGCCAGGTCTTTCCTTAGTTCAGTTGCGATGCTCCTCTTGACCAAGAGTTTAGGATGCACGTCGGCCACCAAGTAAACGTGTTTGTGTATGTGTATTTGGTCCGGTGCCAAGAACGTCACGTTATCGCCGCCATAGTTCAAGTACTTGTTCTACCGCTTCATCACACAGAGTTACAGGGATCCTCACCCACGTCTTTGGTGCATCGTCACGGAGTGGTCGGGCTTTCTTGTTCAACCCCCTCCCCTGTTTTCGCTTGCACACCTTTATTGACATTTGGTGCATGCTTACGATGCGCCAACATCGTAAAATTGTTTCATTTGTCCCTTGCATCGTTGGCTTGAAGAGTTTGACAATAACCTTTCGCTGAAAATCACAAGCCTGTCATCTCATTTCGTTTCCAGACGGTGAGTGTTTTACTTTTGACATTCAAATTTCGCTTAGCATAACTGATATGCAGCCAGTCATCCGCTGTAGGAGAAATAATATTCAAAGAATAAAACAATGATCTATCAGAATAGTCAACAAACAGGTGACAAGTTCAGACGTTTAACAGATCTCATGATCTTTATGAGACTGGACAGACATTAGATCATTATAAATTATCTACACCCATGTAGTATGAGATTTAATCTACTACAATCATGCCTAGAACTTGGCATAGGTGTAATATTCAAAGAATATATCCCTACAACAAGAAAATAGCACATAGATGGCAGAATAAGAAGGAACATTGGAAAAGAAATGTGAATATCTCGGGAACCAGTAAACTTTTGACTGTAATCTTTTTACCATCTGAAAGGACTGTTTCTTAACTTTATCCACGGTTTTGTTTCATTCTAAAAGCTTCAAAACTGACGGAGATATCGCTCAAACGGCGAAACACCTTATAATTCATATATATTTATTTGCTAATTCTTACAAAAAGTAATGTGACTCAAGGGAAATATATTGGCGCCCGGAAGTCTGGCGGACCGAATACCATATGACAGAGTATTCCCCGGCGCGGGCGGACAGTTTTTGATCGCATCAGAAGAGGAGAAAATGCTAAAAAACCGGATCTTGTATATTTTCCCATGATTCATCAAAACTTTTTGATTTTAAGCTCAAATAAATCGGAACAAAGGAATGATTGATGATCTGGATCTCGGATCATAAGCATGAAGTGATTCAGAAGTCCGCGGATCGGTTAATTAATTGGGAAGGCTCTAGAACATTAGTAATGATGCGGCTTCACAAAAAGGGGTCAATTAGAGAACAGTCTAGAAAGTTCCTTTATAGCCGAGTCATTTCTAAAGATAACCGTTCGTAATTAAGGCGGTGTAGAGCATAGCTTCAGCGCTACAAGATCCCGCTAAGATCGGCCCAAAAGACAAAGAAATGAATTACTTATTGCTGAGTCATGTCCTAAGTCCATTATTAAGCTTACACAGCCCAAGCCCCTACATCATTCTAGAACTATCTATAATACAAATGTAGCACATGTAACTAGTGCGAGGCGTGGGAGTAGAGAGGCCTCTGAAAAGCATAAAAGGCCGCCGCTTCTGCCTCCTCACAAACCTCAGGTAGAAATAAAAGTTTAATTCTCCTCACCAGTGGTTGGTTCATTTGCTCCAAAAGATAAAAGCAAATATTAGTTGTTAGCTAATATAAAACTAACACGTCACTCTAAGCGTGAGTTAGGGTCAGTTAGACGCAGCTGAACAAAAGTGTCATAGTGAGAATTAGTGAGAATTTGGTGGAGGGACTTCTTAATTGAATAATCTCTCAGCAATACTTGGTTATCACACCACAGGAGAAAAGTGAGCGATCCTGAACCTGCTAGATAACTAGCACGCACTCTAAGCGATAGAAAGAGCAGTTTGGTCACTCCTGTATTGAGTAACATTTATTGCAGAATTATTTTATTAGTAGTTTTCCTTCAGTAAATTATCAGGAAAATCACGTCCTACTGAAAAGTGGTATATCTAGGTGTAATATTGACTAGAAATCATAGTAAAGTCAATATAGAATTTTATCCATAGACGATCTATACGTCAGGTGATATCGTTGGGGGTGTTTATTGTTGTTTAGACAGTGAACAACTATATATTTGGCAACCAAAACACGGTCAGTACGCAAATCAGCACAAACTCTAACATCGTTATTGGACATAGGAAACTGGTTACATAAGGTGATCCAGCTCCGCTCCTTCACCGCTCACTGCCCATGTCGTCAGATTCTAATACCCAGCGCTGTCTCCGCCCCAGACCCAATCCAAAGTTAACAACCTCAACTGCACCTGACAGTATGGATGATTTTTTCCTCATACAGCAAAATGCTGCCTTGCTGCCACCCACCTCCAGTGCAGAGCCATCTGCTGTGCCTGTGGCCCCCCTGAGACCTAAACATGCTGCTGCACACAACTTGAAGAAGAAGGTTTCACCCCGATGATCCAACATCCCTTCCCCTTCCACTCCCTCTTCTAAGATTGTGCTGAAAATCCCTCGTCGTCCACGCACCCACGCTGAGCTGAACGTGGCACCAGCTTCCCTTTCCTTGACCACTGCTGGTGAATCCAGTTTCTGTGAGCCACCATCGAATCCTGAAGCTGGTGAGCAGGTCAGTGGCAACCATGATGCTGCAGGTGACTCCACTTGCCTTGACCCGCAACCCAAGAGCACCGAGGCCGAGCCGGACGCGGCACCAGCTCCCACTGCCCTTGATGAGCGTAATCTCCATAAATCACAGCCAAACCCTGAATCCAGTGAGCAGGTCAGCAGCGAGCCCGACACTATGGGTGGACCCAGTTGCCGTGGTCCACTACTCAACAATTTCGAGGCCAGCGATCAGGCAACTCACCCTGTTGTCAGCACTGGTGTCACGACCGACAAATCCTGGGGCTCCGTCAGCGGCGAACCAATGCCGATAGGTGAATCCGCCGACCCGAAACCCATCCTAACCAGCCCCCAACCCCATGTCTGGCCCCCTGCCTTACTGCGTGAGACTTGGCCAATAATCAGAACCTAGACCCTGCCGGTATTCTGACCTTACCTCCAGTTCCTGAGCCCTTGGTGCTCCCGGCATTCAGTCATGCCTGCCTTGTCTCCATCTGAACCACACTCATCACTTCCCGCTATGTGGTCACAGCCATGCCCCGCTTCCGTGCATTCCGCACCCTCTGCCCACTCCGCACCCTCTGCCCACTCCGCACCCTCTGCCCATCTCTGCACCCTCTGGCCACTTCTGGTTGCCCTTGACACCTCTGGTCAGGTCAACACCCCCACTCCCCTCTGTACCTCTGTTGGCCTTCATGCTGTCCTTGTGTGACAGTGCTGGCAGATCAACCTCTGTTCGCGGACTTGTGTCGGCACCGCACCGACCCCGCTTATTTGCGGACTTGTATCGGTGCTGTGCGCTGACCTCCGCTTTTCCTCTGGCCATTTGTCACTTGGCAGCTTATCATTCATTCCTTGCCAAGTGCCATTTATTGTTTGCTTCCCTGCCAATATCGGCAT